ATTTGTAACGCTGTCCTCGGTCTCAATTGTCATATGTTAGGAATGTAATGGATTTGGGGTGAGCGAGAGCAGAATGTTTTAATATTTCTGTGTGTACTTTGTTCATTTTATTTTATTTTTGCAACAATGGTCATTTATCCTTTTGGAAGTCACGGTAGTCATGAAAAGGACTGTTTGGTTAACTCCTTAAATGTTTACTTTACTGCTCTGTCTCTGCCCTCTACTTGGTAGCCTTTTTCACAAATGCAAGTTTCGGAGCGAGTTGTTATTGCGGCAGTCAAAATATCAGTCGCCGTAGACCAAATGAAAAAGCGGCACTTGTTTTCAATTGGCCATAACTCAATAAATATTTACCCCATTGGAAAGATGTTTTCGATGTTGAAAAGCCAATGGACTATATGTATAGATATTTGCGCTGTATTTTTTATTTAAAGCTGTGAACAAGAGGACGCTTTGATGGTCCAGTTTTTTTCACACCTGTATCGACGTTCAAATAAATTACATACTCTTTTGTCATGCTAATTTGATAATATCTAACCAAGAATATTTGTTTAAACCATAACATTCCTGTTGACGACCGATGGCACACTGAGCAACCATTAATTTTTTCAAACCTATATTTTTCATACTGAATATATATATATATATATATTGACGACTACTATTTGGGATGATACCTGTGGACATAAATAGTACTTCGACCAAATCTGACATGCACGGACAGCATATAAAATACATGACTGCCTTTGTGCCTCGAGATAGTCACAAAACACGATTAACGCAATAGTACAGGGACATTCCCATATGCGCGTTGGTACGAATTGTGAGCGGATCGTCGCAGAGACACGAATTTAAAATCAGTTAAAAAAAATTCTGCTATTAACTGGATTGTCTGGCGGCAAAACCAATTTGCTAAATCCAATTATCCAAACCATAGTCCAATTTAGGAGTCACATTGGCCTCGCGAAAGGTAGCAGGTAGATGGATGGGAAGTCTTTAGCCTTCACCGGCGTGAGTGATAAAGACCGGTCATTCAGGGATTTTTAGCGAGGGTGAATCCCGGCTAATTTCCCGACGGGCCCAAGGGGGCTCTTCGTGATAATGAGCTTCCCGGGCACGGAGACCGGGGAATATAATAATTCCAATCGCCAGTTAAGGGGAGATCGAAGTCAGTCGCAGATGAGTGTCTTGTCAATTATCAAGCCGGTGAATGGCTTGATATATCGGGGAAGGGCGACCAGACGACAGCGCGCATGTACATCTTTTTTGGCTGGGGTCAACGCTCGATGAGTAGTGTGAACACACACCACGGCGCTCAGAATGATCGACAGAAAGGGGAGGGGCAATCGACCAAAAAATGAAGGGTGTTAGCTCCATCGAAATTTGGGTAAACAAAACAGACTTGGGTTGCAACATGCACTCTACTATCTGCAGAACTGAAAAAAAAATCAAAGGTGTACTTTCTCCGAATTCTTCCGGGCCATGTAAATTATATCATATATTGAAGTCAATTGATGCCCAGATATGTTCCAGGGTACAGATAGTTGCTTCAGTCGAATATCAAACTTTAAAAGACAAGCTCGATCGGAAATATGTCGGAAGCTGCGAGCCAACGAATTCGTATTCATGCATGAGTCACGTGATTGTGCCATGTCATTTATGGAAGGAGTAGTGTTTTCAATTTTTAAAAATTGTTTGACCCCAGCGACCCCATGATGACCTCTGACCCCAGTTTGGTCATGTGACATGTTGGGGCTGGGCTACTGATACTTTGACAAAAGTTGGTTGCGATCAGTCAAAATATGTAGGAGCAATAGACAATGTCAACGTTTGTTACTAGCTAACGGACTAACGGAGAGACATGATGATTTGCCGAGCTGCTATCCCGCAGCTTAAAAAAAGTTGGTACACTGTATTTGAAAGCCAGAAAATCACCGAATGTTCGTGTAGGTTCACATGCTCAGAAGTGGGGAACGCACTACAGTCATCACAGACTCGGATTCCTTCACAATGTAGGGGCGTGTACAAAAGCTCGACTGCATCTCCGGGTTCGACTTCGGACGCCTTAAGGCCTCAAAGTGTGGGGGACTTCGGCTTAGTGAAGCTCCGTGTTTTGCTTCATGTGCAGCACATTTTGTAACATGATGCTTATATTTAGGCACATTTTGTACAAGATTTGCTCAGTAAAGGCTATTAAATGATCCTTTGAGCTTTACCTCATTTATTATTCTGAGCCAGCGATGGAGCCTCAAAGCCTGGATTTTGAAACCTCTTGTGTATCCTTCCTGTTTTCTTACAGAAGCCTATTCCTCCCTCAAGCGAACAAGAAAACAACAGACTATACGCTAAATTATTACAGACATCTTGAAGTGTGTGTATAGCTGCCATAAAGCTTGCGCGTATCGATCTCGCAATGGGACTTCACCACGCCGGATCATTTTTTAAACATGAGAAGTGTAACACCTCGGCGAGGCGAGTAGTACCTCTCTGCACCAGACTTTCCCGGCATCCCCCCATCCCCTCACGGGAGAATAGCGCCGATGAACGGGTGTTAAGTCCCCGATTCACCGGCCTGATAGCCACTCCTTGCAGCTGCAGACAGCTTTTGTCTGCACCCGGCTTTCTTCTCACGTCGTAGTGACAACCGAACGCTTACAGAACGTGACGACACAGGGATTTCATCCCCTCGACCAAAAAAGAAGTACAAGTTTTCCCTGCGGTAGCGGTCACACACAGCTAGAGCTGTCAGCATTCAAAATGCAGTTGACAAGGCGCAATTCTCATAAATGTCCAGGCAGCCAAGGCCAACGTGTTAAATGCCAAGTTTGAATGAAGAAAGAGACCTATTTGAAGAGATCATCCCATAAGGGTATAGGTGTCAGTTGTTCCCGTAGTTGAAATACAGCATGTACGTACTCCGAACTGTACTTTCATATCTCTCGATCGATATGCCGACAATAAAATCCTGAAAACTGTCTGTGCGTGGAATGGAACTAATTTAACCTTACATCGTGGTTATGCATTGCATATTGCGGGACGTGCTTCCGTCAGTTCCAATTCCTGACCAAGTTGTCAACACCTTTCAGCAAGTTGACGGTTATCACGATAAATCTATCACCCTTTTTTAAAATTGAGTGCTGTGAACTCTGTGAGACATTTGGTTGGAGAAAGCCAATAGACGACACATTGTTCATTGCCTCTGCGAGGCACTGGTGCCAAAAAACCCTAAACAGCTAGGAATCGACAGAAAAAAATCGGAGCGCCTAATAATCCTCCATGTTTTCTTTGCTCTAAACGCATTGGCATTCTTCTCCAAGTCTCTTGTGAAAACCAATCCAGTGATAGAAAGCCGGGCAGTGCTATTGCATAGGTATATCCTGTAGCGCCAACGAATGGGCTGATTCCGGCCCAAGATGTAGACCAGATGCATGAAAAGTCTTCCAGTGCATTCTGAATCAATTGATCAGTAGTTTGTGCACTCTGAGTCAGCTTTACTTGCCTTTTCTTGTCTTGTATTCCTTCCTTTGCAACAAAGTGTTGTCATCCTCGACAAATAGCCATGTTGGACATTCAACCACGCGACTGAAGTCATTTATCGGGTGAGTTAAGGTTTTGAATTCGATGTAGGAACTAAAGCAACTCATGGCCTGGTTTTTGTTGTAATAAAGTTGTTATATCAAAGCCTCGAGAGGTGATGTTTCCCGCTTTTCACCTAAAAAACGTGCCCCACCCCATTTTCCCTTAATGAAATTATAACTACGATTTTATTAAAGTTTGTCTGAAAATTTGGTGTGGACATATTGTAACAAAGAAACAGATCGCCACGTACACTACAAAGCGTTTACGCTATACATTAGTTACATTCCTTTGTTGCCTTTCTGGTCGGGTGCACCTTTAGGTAAAATAAGATCGGTGCACGCACGCAAACGTGTGTTCACCGTCGATCGTGGACGTCCTATTGTCCCTCCTTTGTTTTTACTCTAAATTTTTAGGAAGACTCCCATAGGTTTTGTACACGACCCCAATCGCGGACGTATGCTGGGAATAGTGGACGATATTGCTCTCTTTTGTTCTCTGGTATTTTTCGTCCAAGGTTTGAAAAGATCAACACGTACAATCGGACGTGGGTCATTCTTTCTCTATTTGGTTGTCACACTGTTACGTTGAAATTCCATTTGCTGTGTGCTCTCCTCCATGCACCCACGCCCCTGCACTGGTAGTATAATTTGTAAGTGTCACCCAATATTATAATTTACTCTTGGTTTATCTTTGTAAATATTTATTATGTGTAATATCAAACAAACATCTGGGAGGCGCCCCCGAAGTCTATCTTTTTCACCGTGTGTTTTCTTCGGTTGTTGTTTCACGCTCCGGCCTGCTCGACCTTTACCATATTTGCGGGGAAATGGAGCTATGGGCTCCGTGCGCCAACAACGAGGGTGCCCTTTTACCTAGCAACGACGTCCAATTGGCGGGATATTTAGCTGGTTGACGCACACCGTTCCTTGTGTGTGACGCACGTACACCAGGGGATTTGTACTATGTACACGCAGTGGTACGGCCGTGCGTCGCGGCAAAATTGCAGTCAGGCAAGATGGCGTTGGTCGGTCACCCCCAGCTGTACTTTCTTTGCCGGTGAGGGGGTACTTGTGAATGGAGCGGATAAGCTGCGTCTGAACTACACTTTACTCCACTGTTATGAATCAACTTCCCAAATTGCGGGCGCACTTATGCTACTGCTATAAGTGACTAACCTTGCTGCTAAAAAGTTGATTCTGAAGTTGAAGATAACAGATTGTACACGGATCTTTCTCTATGTAATACACCAAAACTCAGCACCATTTCTCTCACCCTATTCTGAGTGTTCACAAGTTGACTGTCTACTTTTCTGAAAGGTCACAGTGGCAAATGCAAGGATAAAGGAGAAAGTTATCAGATTCTTAAATAGAGAATACAAGTTGGGAAAGGGAGGTCTGAATAGAACAATCCGAATAACTTACTTGAAATAGTAGCTGCCGTTTTCGTAGGATCCAAGAAATGGTACAGTGTACGTGATCATCCATATATCACCCCCTCCGCAGTCGTAATATGGAGCGCTCCAGTGGCCGTCCTCATAGGTAACCAACATAACGTCGCCCTCCACCGGGGGTTTCTCGGACGTATCATTATTCCGATGGATGAAGGTAGCTGTGTATGAGGGAGGAAAACAAAGTCACTTTAAAGGAAAATTCAACAAAATAGACGTGAAGAGTACCTTTCATATTTTTTTTATGATATGCATTAATGCGGACGTGTTGTTCTTCCAGAATTGTAAGTCTCGTGCGACTATACACTATTAGAAAAAGTTGTTCTCCCCTGCCCTGTAACATATCCGTTTTCTTTTTCTCCAGTGATTAGGTATTGCCTCAACCTCGTCCCCAGGGCTTACTTTATTTTCAACCTCGTTTCCAATAGTAAGCCCTGGATAGGAAACTTGCTTCCTGTATCCTGATTCGATACCGCATTTAGCAAGAAAAGGAATTATATCGTGTACTTGATGTTGTAATGCCCAACGTGTATTTTACGTGTTTTCACGTTCATTGTAATTCTTACGTCCACACCTTCTCAAAAATAATATCAACTGTCCAATTTGTTAATATTGATATGAAATGTGATACTGCATAATTATTGACTGGGTAAGATTGTGACATTTGAACTTTGAAAAAAAAATCTTGTTTTCGTAACTCACTCGGCGACGAATTGATTGTGTTTTTACCCCAGACACCACATACAAAACAAACGCTGATGTGACGAACAGGCAGGCACCGGACTATTCCTCATTTGCATACGTATCCCAAAAAATGGATATGCAAATGACCCAATGCCAGAGTGAGAGGGCGGGTAGAGGTGGGAGCGTACTGCTCGACACCCTGGGAACGAGGTTGGGTATTGCCAACTTTTACGCTTCTAACGCAGAAAAAGGCCGAACGCACAAATAATTCTAAACGTGAAAAGTAATTATTCCATAAATGAATGAGGCTGTTCAATTTCATTTTGTTTTTCGTTCCATGTCTATTTTAAAAGTGATCTTTTAGGGTGAAACTTGAACCGTCAGCAACCAGAAAGCAACTTTAGCGAATGCTAATTGAACGTTTATAGAATTGATCCGAAGAAAGGTTTGTTTTCCAAAATAACAAGCGTTAAAAAAAAAACCGCTAGCAAAACAGGTTATGTTGACGGAAATGATTTTGATGCCGTGTTGACGCACTTAGCACTATTTTCTATTTGCTCTAGATTTGCCCGTCAATCTTGTTTTCCCGAATCGTAGAAAAAAAATCCATTTCTGCCAAAAAAACATAAACAATACACCGGGATGACATCAATGTATTCTTTACGCCCAAAGCATCTTTCGTGGAGAAAATTGAAGGAATGTGGAATTGGGGCTATGATTATGGCGAATCGCCATCCCGACTTGAGGCGAAGATGATTCTCGCATCGCTCCCTTTATTATACCCTTGATTGCCGTGTTGGAGGCCCAGCGTGTTGCCAATAATACGTGCCATAACCTGGTTAGCTGCCCCTGGGTGGAGGGACCCTGACTAGAACGGATGCACTCAAGGGAGATTCGAGTCGAAGCTTTTTTATATTTCCTACACCAGGAAAACTTAATATACAGTCCCGACTGCATGTGTGATTCAGGACATGTACGATGTAGACTCCACAACACCTCTCGGCGCATGTTTCCGAGTATTTCATCATTGCTTTGCCGGGGTACCGAGTTCCTTCTGGGGCTGACCTTTCACAAATTTGCTCCTTCGGGTTCGACGGAAGGTTAGGACAAACATGTTTTCTCGCGCGGTATCGGTGTGCGTCTCCTTTTGCAATAAAAGCCCCATATTCGGGTTGACTTTGATAATTAAATCAAGTACTGTTGATAAATTCATTTATAACTTTATACATGTCTTAGGTCTCAAAATTCGAGGTTTTAACTGCATTTTGTTTCCCGTTACACGAAACGTTCAGAACACTTTTTGTATGCCAATCATCTTTTGCATCTGTCTATAGACAAGTACCCTAGAATTTCTTAGAGGGGCTGGCTAAAGAGTTGACGTGCAGGATTATTCAAAGAGCCTGATGGGTAAGGTGATGAATTAAAATACAAAAGGAGGTACCCTATAGGAGGAAATTAATTGAGATTTGATGCATGTATATTGTATGATTTTAGAAAAGCAAATTTGCCTTATTTCGGACGCTATTCGTTCTCGGCCTTTTTTGTGACATTAACATTTCAGTTTTTAATTGATACCTAGACAATGGAAACATGATTCAGTGATAAACTCACAGAGATACACCAAAGTGTGTTCGACGACTTAGGGTTCGTACGTCACGATCACACTTGGAAAAACATCATTTTAACTATCGAATAATTGGGTACATACCCATACCTTCAAAAAACAATGTACGGTTTTGGGGGTAATGGTGACAAGCATGATTTTCTGGTGTTGACTCTTAAATCGCGTCAAGCCAGAGTCCTATTTCGGTCCTTGTTATCTCTTCTTAAATGTCTGCACTTGAAGTGGTTTTATTTCTTTATTAAAAAGAATTGGGGCCAATTGCATTGCGCTGCCTAAAAGTTAGTTGCGCGCTCGTAGAGATATCTATTGTTTCCTCACCAATTTAAGGAACTTGTCCCCCTTTCTTACTAGAGCGTACCGTTTGCTGCGCGTACTGTGTCTCCAGGAAATAGACGGAGGCGCTGTCAGGTAGAAAATGGTGTGCCACTAGTTTGAGTATCATCCGTTGTTCAACGGAGAGCGCACGCTACCGTATCTCTGCAACAACGTAATAGAAATGTATGCGACCCCGCGCGCCACCCAATCAAAGTCGACTTTAGAAATTTGACGTCATTTCGTGCAGAAATGTGAACTAAGCTGTTGATTGGTCAATTTACTGCCATGTTTTTGTAATACAACAACGGGTTACCGAGGACCTGATAGAAGGCGCCCGCTGAATGGTCAAAATCTGGAGATCAACACGCGGTGCTGTTTTGCATATTTAATCGCCGGATCTGCATGCACATTACAGTCGCTTGTATGCAAGCGGGTATTCCAGAGACTAGTGTTCTACTGCGATCGCTATATGAAAATTGGGGCCAAGTATCGTTTTCAAATTCAGAAATGGCCGCCGCTTTGGCTATCTCCGTGAAAGTTTACTAGCGGGCAGAGTACGCGAAATGTCAATACCGAACCGAAAGCGCCCTCGCGGGAACGGATTCAATCAGAAAACATTACCCCTCCCTGCACCCTTTTTGGCGCGAAATAGTAACAGCCTTAAACATTCGTCACAGATTTCCCATGATGATGCGCGACATTCTGGAAAAATGAAAACATGGAAACAAAATCCCACAGCCCTGGAAAATGTTACCACTCACTTCACTGCTGCTAATACGTATACGCAAGGCACAAAATGTCTGCTGCATACGATGCTAACGAACACGTTGTTTTTCAAGACTTGACCCTTGAAAAGTAGTTTATGATAAAGCTATCAAACAGATTAAATTCTTGGTGATATTTTTCTTTAGAGTCACCGCGACCAATGAAGGAACAATTGGTTTTCTGGAACAATTGGTTTTCAGGAACAATTGGTTTTCTGTAAATTCATAATGTCTTCAAATTCATAAATAACATCTAACATCAAGTTAACGGCGCACCAGTTAAGCTAAATCAATCAATTAAGAATCCCTTAACACCTGTAATGATGACTAAAGATCATATTTTACTACCAAATACAAGAATCGATTAATAGCTTAGGTAATGCGTATTACAAAGTAATAACTTGAAAAAATAGAGGAGTTGGCCGAGCTGTTAATATTAATACCAGCTGTCTTTTTTATATAACCCGAGACGTGATATTTTTTTTGCGGTATCGTGACAAGCAGATTATCACCCACATCAATGAATATTAACTCAATTTCCCGTAGCTTGAGCAGCGCTTATCTTCATCAATATTGCATCGCAAACGCGGACGAGACAACAGGTCCCTCTAGTCCACTAAATCACAAAACTCATCCATAAATCAAATGACTATTGCGAGAAGATGGGAGAAAAAAAGCTGTTAAAAATTCAGCTCTCTGCAGGCTACATGCAGATTATGTAGTCTCTTCTTCAATTCCATTGCGGTTGGCTTAAATTTCAGTGGCGTTCGGGTACTCAATAAGTTGTACACACACTCTGAATGTTTTAGAATATACTCTGAATGTTTTAGAATAGTACTGGCGAGTTCACTGAACAGCAGTGTCAGGTCTATGGCGGGAGCAACTGTGAGACGAGCAATTGAAGTGGCTAGGCGAGACACAACAAAACAGACATAAAGAAGCCCTTTTGTGGCCTGTGTTACAAGGTTGGATCCAAAACACAATTTTTTCGGGGGGGGGGGCCCAAAACAAATGTTTGGTCCCCGTCCTAAAAAAAATACGGCTTGGGGTTCGGGGCCCACTTAAGGGCCCCGAATTTTGGGGGTTCTAGATGCTCTGTGCTGCGATCTGAGGCTATTTCTGACCACTTTAACCAAATCTGTTGGAGGAAAAGATGGTGGGGTACGCAGTGCCTGCCTTTATTGCGACGCCACCAAAAAAAAATAAAAAAATAGGTTCGGTTTTTTTTGGGGGGGGGGGGGCCCTGGAACCACCCTTGCTGTATTATTTATTACCCGGCCATGGTTTGTCTTTCCTTGCATTTCTGAAACCAACGCAATTTTGCCAATCCAATCGTTCGTGATTTGCTAATAATAATGATGCCCAGGACCGAATTAAACATAAACAAAGTCTCGTGCGGGCATTTAAGTTCTTAATTGTCTATCATACAGCGCAGGGAAGTGAGGGAACTAGAGTTTATTGCAATTTTCATCCCGACTGTAGAAGGCCTAGCTCTCGTTTATCAAATGAGAACGAAAACAATATCTCGAGTTTCACTTGTTTTACACATTCTGATGGTTCATTGGCAAGAACCTGACTGATTTTATAGTACAAAATCGTCTACTTTGAACATAAGGCAAATTTAACGATGTCACCAAACGACATGCATGCAGCTACATGTATTATGTCCCCATCTTATATTTTCATATAGGGACTAAGTTCAAAGTAGCACATTCTCTATACTTTCAGTGGTTTACAACCTTTGAACAAAATTTGTACAAATTCTGGATTCACTTAAT